CTAGCAAGACGCACGTTCTTCCGTCTGCCACAAATCTTTCACCTGATTACGCAGGGGAGGGGAATGATTCTTCACCCCGGCCTCAGCACTCTCAAGTTCACCGCGTGGCTCCTGTGCTAGTTAACTCTGTTGATCCCTGCAGGCTTCAACAAAATTCCTCGGTCCTGATGCCAGAATGCCAGTCGGTACCGAGAGATCTCACCCGACTATCCTCAGAAGCTACATCATCGTGACAGGAAATCAATTTTATCCTACAGTCCGCTCTTCGTCCATCCACTCGTCGATCGTATGAGGTGAAATGGAAGCGTTTCACCACTTTTGTGGGAGCTAACCGTTTTTCTCCTGAATCAGCTTCCATCGATAATATCCTGTCCTACTTGCTTTCGTTGTATCAGTCTGGACTTAAACCCACTTCTATCAAGGTCTATATTGCAGCTATATTGCATTTCCATGGCCCTGTCTTGGGCTCATCTGTGTTTTCCCACACACTCATCTGACGTTTCCTGAAGGGACTACAAAATCTCCATCCTCTGATCCGTCCATCAGTACCAACGTGGAGTCTATCTGTAGTTCTCCATGCGCTCACCAAAGCTCCTTTGAAACCTTCGCAATGATGGAGTTAAGACTGCTATCTTGGAAAGTAGCCTTTTTGGTTGCTATAAACTCAGAGAGAAGGGCAGGTGAACTTTCTGCCCTACGTGTGGACCCACCATACCTTAATTTCCACAAGGAAAAAGTGGTTCTACGTACTGATCCAGCGTTCCTCCCCAAGGTGGCCACACTATTCCACGTTAACCAGGACATCGTGCTTCCAGCATTCTTCCCGTCCTCATTCACCCCAATAGAGAGATCTCTTTGTTCCCTTGATGTGCGCCGATCTAGCTTGCTACCAGTCACGTACGGAAAGCTTCAGGAAAACCAAGCACCTGTTCGTCAAATACTCCGAACCCGATAAGGGTGCACCTCTCTCTGCACAAAGACTATTGAAATAGATAGTACAGACTGTTGAACTAGCTTACCAACTGGCCAAGATAGATCGCGTTCCACCCAAGGGTCACTCCACCAGGGCCATGGCAGCCTCCTCAGCCTTCTCGTCAGGCGTTCCACTGCTGGACATCTGTAAAGCAACCACATGGACAACTCCCTGTACCTTCACCAAGCACTACAGGCTAGATGTCAAGGGTCAGGTAGGATTGTTCCTTTGGATGGGCTGTCCTATCATCCATTCTTCACTGACGACACCGACCCACCTCCAGTGAGTGAAGCTTGCTAATCACTCATTATGTGTGATGCACAGAGACCACGAAGAAGAAAGTCAGGTTACCTGTAACTGTCGTTCTTCAAGTGGTCATCTGTGCAGTCTCACAACCCGCCCTCCAACCCCACTCAGTGGCAAGGGATGGGATGGTAGTCTCTGTTATCGACTTCTCTGATGAATGGCATGCTCCGCTAGGGGGTGATGTACCGGTCTCCAGGGACTGAGGAAAATGGTGGGTACTCCGCCTTATATAGCACCAGGGGTGAGGGGTGCGGAGTCCCCGCCAAAAACCGTTGCAGCTTGGGTATTCTGGCCGGCAACAGATGTGTGCTATATATGTGTGCCTGCACAGTTCACCACTCAAAGAACGACAGTTACAGGTAAGTAACCTGACTTTTTATTGCATTCTGCATTTTATGTATTGTTTTGAGATGTTTTGTAAGGATTATCTTGAAAGGTGGCCCATACATACTGTTATAGATTGATACATGTGGTCATATCCTGTTGTACCAGTGCCTGTCCATTAAGCAAGGTTTGAGTTGCTTCCATTCCCATGCCATAGCAGCACAGCAAATTTAACAACAAAACTACAAATTACATAGCAGCAAGTAAGCTGCTAGATTGCAAAGCTTCAATTCATTGTGTAATTTAAAAACATATTTTCCAGACCAAATTATTAAAAAGAAAATGAATAGCCACATACAAGAGCCATCAATCTCAGCATTTTTCTGGTAGTTAACAGGGACTATACCTATGTACAGATGAATCTGTTTTTCTGAAATAATAATTTTGTGCATACATTCTTTGCTCCAGTTTAGATTCAGAGGTGAATCTTGCATGACTCTTGTTTTTGTAACACTTTCACAGGACAGTTTCCTGGTGGACTTTGCTCTTAATTTTCTATTGTGGGATCCATTTACTAAGTCCAAGTGCTATCAGTTGGAAAAAATAAATTTCTTGTGCTGCATATTTCCACAATGGCTTGTGACATAAAGTTTTATTACTAAATCAAAAGCGAACACTGCAATACAAAACTTTGTATTGCCTGATCAAGTTTTATTTTTATGTCACCTACTAAAAGAACTTCTATCTTGTCTGAATGCTCCTTGTTTAGCCTATGGCCAAATCCAACCACTGGTTCAGAATAGTCATTACTTCACCTGCATTTGCTGAAAAGAAGAGGCAGACTTCAATTGTAAATGCATATCAGTGACCAGTGATTAATGTTAAAAGGTTAGATATTATGAGGCATGGCAGACAAAATAGAGGCCTGAAAGATGCCAAAGTAGAGTCTTCATAAGACAAGAGCTATAGTCTCCCAGAATTGCTTTCTGGAATTAACCATCCAATTAGGTACACAATCAATATAAAACAATGCCTCCAACTACCAGCGCAGACAGCCTGCCTAGAAAGGAGGCCACCAAAGAGATCAAAAAGAACCAACAAAGATAATCTTGCAAGGCAAACACAGTCTTGCCTAACATCCAAGTGAATAGTGCACATCATCAGTATAATTCAAAAGTTTCTGAAGTTGGCCAGAGACCACCCCCTTAATCACCTTGCCTCAAAATGGAAGGTTAGCCACTGGTGTACAATTATTTATATCTTCTGATTCTAGTCTCAGCTTTATCAAAAGAGGCCAAACCACCATCTCTTTTCAAGAAATCCATATTTGGCCCATCCCTCAAGGAACCATTTACCACTTCCTTGAAATGTGTTGAAGTGGTTAAGAATACTACAATATTTTAATGCAAGCATTTCTAGAGCAGAGAGTTGCTTTTTTTTTTTTTTCATTTTTCTAGGCCTGTCAAAAGTAATTTTGCATCCTGAAGTGCTGTGTTATCTGTCTTCTCAGAAATCATTGTTGTTAGTTCCAGTTTGCATTGTTCTTACCTTGTGCAACTTAATAAATCAATATACTGGAGAATAAGAATAAAAAGCATGAGTACAATAACTATCCAGTAAAGAAATCCTAACCTTAGATCTGCCAGCAGGAGAGTGGGAAGGATAAGGCCACTGGCAGAGAGGAGCTCTACCAGCAGGTTGAAAACTCTGCCCCCTCTCCCCCAGCAGTCCAGTTTCATCTGCAGAAAATCCTGTCAGTAGAAAACATAAAACCCTGAAGCAATAGAGCAGAGCCATATATCCACAATTGCTAGGCTGTTTGCTTTTGGAGGTGCTCTTGCGGAATCCCTCCTTAATCACAGTTTTTCTAGCTTGCTTCCACCCCTCAAACCCATCCCAAGGGCATTTAAAAACATGCTGTTTACATCAGGCCTTACTGGGCAGAGTGGAACAAGGCAGACCATTTCTGCCCTGCTGATTTCCTTTTGGAAGTTGTAGGTTCCACCAGTACTATAGAGCAAGCAGTTAATGTGCAGGAGGGTAGCACATCCCAGAGAAAACACTGAAATGAACAAAACCACTTATTTCTGCAAGAAGACTGGCTGGTGGAGCTCCTTTTGTACACTCTCACAACACCTTCCATATACAAGCGTTTCTGCTCTTTTTGGTTTTGCAATTGCAGAAGCATTGGGGTCTACTTGGGCAACACATTAGGTAATAATGTACACACCCTGTTGTATTCTGTCCTCAACTCTGATCCTGTATTTAATCACATCTTCTCTGGACCTGTTTTGGAACCTGTCCTGCCAGTTTCAAATTTTGACTAACCTCTTCTTGTTACATCCAGCTGGCAAATACAGACATAAAACCTACCTCAAGGGCTTAGAGAATCAATTGGGTGGAAGAATCTCTCTAGACAGCAAAATACGACCACCTTAATGCTTTTTTGGTGAAACTATTGGCACCAGAAAGGGTAGTGAGACTTAGCTATTCAGTTCTTCCTACTCTAGTACGGTTTGTCCCATTCATGGTAGGTTCAGCTCCTTAATCTGTTTACCAGGAAAATCGTTAGAACTGGTTTTTGTTCTTGGCCACTATTTCCTTGCCCAAATGCATGTTGTTGTTTGCAAGCCTGGCTTGGCTTAGCCAGGCCCAAATGGTCTTGCCCAATTGTTGCTTCTTCTTTAGGGTGGTGGCGCAGTTGTCAATGAACTCTTTTAAACTGTCTGGTATTCTTATCTGTGGGATTTTTTCTGATTCAAATTCCCTAATAACCAGGTTCACTGATAATTTCCCCTTATTGTTTTCAAGGCAGAATATTAAAGTAAATTTATCTATTAAGATGGAAAGTCCTGCAAAATGCTAGGCCTGCCCTGGCTATTGTGAATTGCTTTGCTTTTTCTAGGCCCTCTTAGGACTGCATTGCAAGATACTTGAAATCTCTGGGAGTCAGTTCCAAGAGTTAGGTTCATTTGGCTGTATAGCAAAATGTTATTTAAGAGAGTAGACAGAAATTTACCACACATGGATATGTTTGGTAACATGCAATAACTCTCAGAGAGCTTTGGCTGTGGGGCAGTAGAGAAATGAAATGTACTCAAATAAAATGACTCAATTTGAAATCTTGACCCATGCAAACATAGTTTATTCTGTGCTAGTATTGTTTCTGAAAGTATGTTCTGTATAGCTAGGAATGCAGCCATGGTATATTAAGTGTTTGCAGGCTTCCAAATTGCCATATTTCATACTTAAACTTTTAGTGTTACTGAGCACAGGTATGTATTAAATGATAGATGAAGTAAAAGTCGATAGTAAATGTGAACATTTTATAGTTCAAATATATTTCCCTGCTTTTGTTGTATGAGAGAAATATGAAATATTTGACCTATATCTGTAGGTTCATGTACTGGACAGAATGGGGCGGAAAACCCAAAATTGATAGAGCTGCCATGGATGGTAGTGAACGTAGTACATTGGTGCCAAATGTGGGACGGGCTAATGGGCTGACAATTGATTATGCAAAAAGAAGATTGTACTGGACAGATCTGGACACTAACCTGATTGAATCTTCAAATATGCTAGGTAAGTTTTATAGTTGGTTTGTATGTAGAAGCTAGATTCTTCAAGTATGTTAGATAGGAACTAGTGCAGTTAAAAGATTGCCTGCTCCAATAAACCCTGCCCACCTGCAGAGGTCTTTGGTGAAGCCTCTCTCTCAGGACACTATCTAGTGACCTTGCATTTCTTGATGAAGTGTCCTTTAATGCTCATTATTTTCGCTCTCTTTATGACATTGACTACTACTATTATGTGGTTGCATTGTTTAGTTCAGGGATGGAGAACTTCTGTCTGCAGGCCTAATCCAACCAGCAGAGGTCCCCCATTTAGTCCATAGAGCTTCTTTTGATCCTACCAAAAGTCAGGGCATGGTTTCTAAGCCCTATTCCATGGAAGAAGTCCTGTGAGGGAATGAAAAATATATGCTGTCCATGGTTTAGGGAAATATTACCATCAATTTATCAATACTATCACATTTATTGAAAAATAAGGTTTCTTGAGTTCTCTGGGGTTTACTCCCAAGAAAGTGGGTTTAGGATTTGCTGTGATCATGGGAGCCTGGTCCAATCAAGGCGTTCTGCCTCAGGTTATGCCAAATATGATAAAGTTTGTGGAATACAGTGATGATAATGTAGATTATCAATGAACAAGTAAAAGTACAGAGAGGAAGAACAAGCCCTCTACATGCTCATACCAAAATGTAGGAAACCGAATAATCAGCTCAAGTTGTGACAAACCAGATTCAGGCTAGAAATCAGGAAAAGATTCATAACCATCAGAGCAATACAACAGTGGAACCAATTACCTAGGGAGGTTGTGGGCTCTCCCACAGTATAGACATTCAAAAATAAACTGGACAGTCATCTGAGAAGGATGGTGTAAATTGGTGACTTGCAACTGCAGAGGATTGAATCTGATGGCCTTCTTGGCCCCTTTTGACTCTATTATTCTATGATTCTTTGATAAGAAAGTGTACATTCCTCTTGCCTATTGGTCCTCTGAATAGTTCAGGGTTGCTCCTGTGAGCCTCCAAAGGTGCCTTGAGGGGCAAGGCATCAATTCCTTCCCTCAAGCTAAGAAAATCTCTTGCCATTAATTTTATACCTTTGCACTCACTCTCTCGCCTGTCAGGATTTACCCTGATTCCCTCCCCATTTTCCTGGGAACAAAGCTGTTTCAGTAAGTTAAATGGTTTTGTTCTCGCATTATCTCTGGCCCTTCAAACTCTGTGCTTTTCTTAACAAGCTGAAGGCTATGAAATCTTCGCATGCTTTCAAAAGCAATTTTGGCTTTTGAACACTGGGAAAGTTTACTATACCACCTGCTGAACCCCAATAACCTCCTTGCCATTCTTCTGGTAGAGCCAGAACAATACAAGATTACCACCTAAATTAGTATGTTTTCTACTTATTTAAGTTTGCACTTTTTGATCTTTAATTTTGTACAAAAATATGATAGCAAATTTGTATATAGTATGTAGTGTGTGTACACACAGTCACACTGTACGACTGTCAGTTATTCTGTTTTGTAGGGAGTTTTTTTCCTCCCAGTAAGGCACTATAAACTTAGCTATTATGTCTGCAAATTTTCATTTAACAAAACTGTAGACCAGGGGTCCTCAAACTTTTTGACCAGGGGTCCAGTTGAAAGCTGCTGGTGCTGGGCGCAGGCTGGAAAGATGGTGCCTGGTCATGCGCACGGGGCCGGGGTATGGGCATGTGGCAAGGGGAGGGGAGGCAGGGGCGGGCACGTGCTGTGAGGCGAGGTGGGCAGTGGTGGGCGCGTGCGGGGCGGGTTCAAATAGGCATGGCGGGCTGGATAAATGGGCATGGTGGGCCAGATCCGTCCCCCAGGCCATAGTTTGAGGACCCATGCTGTAGACATTCCCTTATATGCATGGGGAATGAAATAAGTTCAGGGTGTTTAAAACTGTAGATCATTTGATTAAGACTGTTGCTTCCGTGAAGTTTGATTTGGAGTGGGGTGAAGGCATCTTGACATGTCAAGTACTTTGTACTCAGTATATTTCCCCTTTCTCTTCATTTGTTTAAAACAACTGCTGCTGCTACAGGCCTTGACCGTGATGTTATAGCAGATGACTTGCCTCATCCATTTGGCCTGACTCAGTATCAGGATTATATCTATTGGACAGACTGGAGCCGGCGTAGCATTGAACGTGCCAACAAGACCAGTGGCCAGAACAGAACCATTATTCAAAACCACTTGGATTATGTGATGGATATTCTAGTCTTCCATTCATCTCGACAAGCAGGCTGGAATGAGTGTGCTTCCAGTAATGGGCATTGTTCCCACCTTTGCTTGGCAGTACCTGTTAGTGGTTTTGTCTGTGGATGTCCAGCTCACTATTCTTTGAATTCTGACAACAGAACATGTAGTGGTAAGCTATAAACACAATTGATAAGTTAGATGCTGCAGAGGGCAAAGGTGATGGTTATGTTTTTGCATATCAGACTTGGAATGCAAGTATTACAGTAATGTTTTACATGCAGAGAAACAGACATTTGTTACATATTGGCCCATTTCCAGCTATCAGATAAAGGGGATATATTCCTGGGTAACCTGGTTCATTCAAAAAAAATTGATATATGTTGTGCATATATTTGTTTTAAAAAGTAGGTGCAAAACTCCATAATTTTTGTATTGCTGTTTTCTGAAGTGCTCTGACACATTGTATATATCTTTTCAGTAATCCTTACAGGAAGCACAAGCCAGTGTGATTATACCCATATTGCAGATTAATTCTAGTCAGGGCTCTATTTTTAAATAGAATTTGAAATCGTTGAAAAAACCTAATTAGCAGCATTAAAGGTTGCCTGCATGATGCTGGATGCTATAGAACTTTTTCCTGTGTAAACATACATAAGATTGCGCTTTTAAACATAATTAAAGCCGGTAAAGGAAAGGTTAAACAGAATCCATGTCAATAAAGGAAAGGTCTAAGTAGAAAACATGATCCTGTTACCCATTCCGGGTCTTGTAACTTTAGTTGAAGTCACTGACATGTGAGCATCAAGTGGCAAGACTTCACATTCAGTTACACTGAAGAAAGAAAAATACCAGAAACCTCATACTTCTCACCTGGAAAGAATTACCTTCTTTTTCTCTCTGTAAGATGCATCTGACCATAAGACGCACCTAGTTTTTAGAGGAGGAAAACAAGAAAAAAAATATTCTGAATCAAATGGTTTACTAAACTATTTAATAAACTATAACAGAATACAGTAATACCATATTTCAACCTTGTAAAGTGAACAGCACTCAACAGTGGCATTAAGAACCATCATCACTGTCATTAACAAAAGAGAGACTTTAAAGTTCGAGTACTCTTCTAGTTTTCGATGAACCCATAGAACTCATCATCACTAGAGTCAGAATTTATGAAGCTCTGTTGCTCACAATCACTGACATCACTTTCTTAGTCAGTAGTGGAATTATTGAAGGAATCCACAATCTACACCAGTTATACAAGAGCTGCTGCAGACAATTCAATAACAAATCTAAAAAAACCAGTAATGTCCACACTGCCCTACTAGTAAATAATAGAAAAAAACTTCTGACAAAAAATGAGATATTATATGGTAAATCAAACACACAGCGGACTAAGTAGCTTTTGAAGAATAAACTTCATACACGAAGGTAATGCTGTTCAAATATCCACTGATCCTAAAAAAAATGTCTGATCAACTAACAGATAACTGATCCATGGAAAGTGTCCTGATAATCATGGGCACATTCCCCATCACTTCCCCATAGGCTTCATTAAAAGACGGGTTGCCATTTGAAAACACACACTGACCTGTGATTAACAGCTCTCACCTGTGCCAGAAGAGGGGGGTGGAGCAGGGTCCGCCAAGCGCGTGCCAGCCAGGTGGTGCCACGTGGGGCTGGCAGCGTGCCGGCGGTGGTCTTCCGGGTGGCGCAGCAGCAGGTCTTCCCAGGCGGTGGGGGTGAGCACTTCCCAGGCGGTGGGGTGAGCAGTCTGTCTCTCCGTGCGGCCAGCGTCCACACGCCTCCCCCTGAGCGGCACAGCTCTCACCTGTGTCGGGGGGGGGGGGGCAGAGCAGGGCGCACCAAGCATGTGCTGGCCAGGTGGTGCCACATGGTGCAGGCGGCCGGCAGTGTCCCAGGCGTAGGGCACACACACATTCGCTCTATAAGACACACAGACATTTCCCCTTTTGAGGGGGGAAACAGTACATCTTACAGAGCGAAAAATACGGTAGGTAAACAAGGAAGTACTTTTTAAAAATTTTAAAAGGTATAAAAGAATAAATTAAAAGAATAAATTTTTATTGTAACCATAGGAAAAAAGCTGAGATTCTTGAAAAAACTGTAGAATATAGGAATTTGTATATAAGTATAGAAGCTAATTAAATTGACTACAGAAACTACCTGGCACACAGCTTAGTTAATTTATATCCGAAGTAATCAAATGTTGCTAATAAAAGTACAGGTTTGTATTCAAATGCCTTTAAAGAACTCCATATATGTTTTCAGTAGTTCTCATAATAGTGCTGCAGGTGGAGTTGTGTTGTTGTTCCTGTATTTATTTATTGAAAAAGCTTTTCTAACCCGCCCACCACTAGCATCTTGGGACAGCTTACAATAAAAGATTGCAAATGAAGGGTAAGAGATAGTGTCTTGGCCAAGGTGAAAACTTCTTGGTTTGCAGTTCAGGCATTACTCATGGACATAGATAATGCCAGACTTTTAATACATTTCTGTGCTTTCATTTGGCAATGATCTACCTCTCTCTCTCTCTCTCTCTCTCTCTCTCTCTCTCTCTCTCTCTCTCTCTCTCTCTCTCTCACACACACACACACACACACACACACACACACACACACTTTATATGCCACCCCACTAGCTATAGGCTCTTTGGACAGCTTAACTCATATTAAAAAGTCCATAAAACACACAAAATGTACAAAACACAACATATTGATACACATTTACAAAGGATCGATAACAAAATCATTATAGGCTACCAGTGTTCAATAAAAACAAAATAAATGAAATAATAAATATACTATAATATTATATATAATATATATATCCCCAGAAATACATTAAAATGTAGTTGTATCAAAATCTAGTGTTGAAAATATATTGGTATCGGTACATAACATAAAAATCAAGATTAAAACATCAGTAATGTTTTAACTAGCCAGCTTTCACTCATAAAACCAAGGCAGGATCTTCGTGAAGGATGGGGTGAGTGAATCCTCCTCTTTGCATTAAGGTTTTAAGTTTGGACCTGACCATTCTCTGTCCTTTACTTTTCCCACCTTTTCCCAAGCCTTTATGTACTTGGGAAAGTGGAAAAGTACAGTGGTACCTTGGTTCACGAACTTAATCCATTCCAGGACTCTGGTCATGACCCAAAATGGTCGTAAGCCAAGTTAAATTTCCCTATAAGGTTCAATGTAAACAAGATTAATCCATTCTGTAACTATTTTTTTAATCAGAAAAATGTGAAGCAAAGTGGCAAAGAATAATAACAAAGATTGTGGCCATCTCCGCACCCCCCGCCCTGAGCACAAGCGCGTTCTTCTCCATACCCCCCACCAGCGCAACCACAATCACACCTGTCATCCCTGCAAGCACCCGTCATCCTGGCGCGCTGGGAGCGGGGGGGGGGGGGGAGAGATGGACGGGATTGTGCTGGGTGGGGGGAAATGGCCAAGATCGCAGTTGTGCTCCTGCAGGAAAGACGGGCGCACTCCTGCAGGAAAGACAGGCACAATCTCAGCCATCTCCCTCCCTCCTCCAGCACGATTGCGGCCATCTCCCCACTCAGGGTGCGGGGAGTCGGCTGTGATCATGGTTGCCACTCAATGTAGAGTTTGTGACCTGAGTTTAAATTTCATTTAAAAAATTATGAAATTTTTGTTTGCGACCCAATTTTGCCATGAACCGAAGCGTTTATGAGCCGAGGTACCACTGTAGTCTATACCCCATTTATGGGAGCAATTACTTCTGACAACTGTTTGAAAATAGGATTTTTGGCAAGGTTTAAATAGGATTTATTTTGACAGAGATATATGCAGATTATATGGCTTACTTGATTAGACAAGGTTTCACATTTGAGATAGTCAGAATTGCAAAACTGCACACTTCTGAAATACCAATAACAATAGCAACAGCAATGAAAGTATTTGCATGCATTACATTCCAACTGCAAAACATTTTTTTAAAGTCATAAAACAGTGATTCTTGTTTTATTGTGCCCCTTGCGTACTTTGGAGCAGCTGACTCTTGTTACTTGGGAGATTGTGAAAAGTAAACATTCAGAAAAGGGTGGAATGCTGTGTCAACCAGAATAGAAAGCACAATCAGTGAAGGCAGAAGAGACAAAATAGGTTTTGCCTTGAGATATTTGTAGGAAGACCAGGCAGGTGGGGGATTCACAAAGAGCCTGATCATCTCTCAGGTATACCATGACTTGTTCCACAAGCAATTTGCACTACATAGCTTATTTGCAGAATGTCTTGTGTTGTGCAGTCTTGCCCAACTTTGAGAGCCAGTGTTGGCCATTGGCCAAGTTTTGTTCTCTAATTCTGAAGCCTAGCCTACAGATAATCTGCATTTCCCCTTTGTGTCTGTATTTCTGTTTAAGCCCCTACAAGTTTTTTGCTCTTCAGTCAGAAGAATGCAATCAATCGCATGGTGATAGATGAGCAGCAGAGTCCAGATATTATCCTTCCAATTCACAGCCTCAGGAATGTCCGTGCCATTGACTATGACCCTCTAGATAAGCAACTATACTGGATTGACTCACGGCAAAATGTTATCAGGAAGTCACAGGAGGATGGCAGTCAGGTATCTAAGTTTTGCAATGAGACTGGTGGGGATAGGAGGAATTTGGAGCCCTGTGTATACTGGTATTCATTTTTTAAAAATATTTTATTGATGATCATTCTTCCTAATAAAAGTCTGCCAGAGCAGCTGTTTATTAGTATGTGATAGAACATCTCCATTTTGAGGGAAAAGTTTGGATATGATTTCAAGTGCACCTATACCTTAGTTTTATGGCTCTTTGGAAACTGTGCCACTCCGGAGAGTGCATTGTAAGCATATATCTCATAGTAATACACATAATGATAAAATAAACATTATAGATTCATATTTCCTATAGTGTCCAAAAGTGGGAACACAGATAGATGTATAATTTCCCATGGGGGGCGTGGGACAACTCACAGTTCCCACAGCAAGCCTTTCTTTTTGGACACAAATATAATAGAAATATAAAAATGAAAAGTACTTCTCACTCACCCGTTGCAGAATTGGCAGTAGGTGATTTTATTAAAGCTATTGCTTCACAGCAGATCAATTCTGCTTTGTGTAGCTGTAAGCCAACTACTTCTGGTTGTTGAATCAATCTATTTCTTTTCTCTTCACCCCCAGAGTTTTACAGTTGTGATGAGTCCAGTTCCAAATCAGAACCTAGACATACAGCCGTATGATCTGAGCATTGACATCTATAGCCGTTACATTTACTGGACCTGTGAGGCCACAAATGTAATCAATGTGACACGCCTGGATGGGAGGCTGATGGGAGTGGTCCTAAAAGGTGATCAGGACAGACCCAGAGCTATTGTTGTGAATCCAGAGAAAGGGTAGGTGGTATTACAAATTGCAAATGCATTACGACTCTGCAGGTAAAACTCCAGATCCACTTTTTAATGTTGACTTTCAGTTTTTCCTGTTAACCAGCCCTATAATCCAGCAGAGAACACTTGAAAACCATGCTGTGTGTGTTGTTTTTATGTGCCATCAAGTTGTCTGTCCAGGCCTTGTCAGTCCTGCTCACCTCTTGTAAAGCAGCTGTGTCTGCCCTACATTTAAAAAAAATGTGCGCAAAGGAAAATTATGTAATGACAGAAGTTGAATTCTGCAGTGCGTATACATTTTGAAAACCGAACACCTTCAAGTAGTTTTCATAACACTGGACTGTTTAATATTTTGTATAATTTAGATTCTGCTCATTATGAGTAAAAAGCAGGGAGTTACTTTACAATTAAACCATGTCCTCTGGCCATTGGAAAAGCAGGGTAAAGAAAAAAGGGGGTGTTGTAAATAGAAGGCCAGGACCAGGCAGATCAGCTTTTCCATCCCTATGACATAGACTAGGGTGTTGGTGTTGGTGTTGGTGTTGGTGTTGGTGTTGGTGTTGGTGTTGGTGTGTGTGTGTGTGTGTGTGTGTGTGTGAGTGAGAGAGAGAGAGAGAGAGAGAGAGAGAGAGAGAGAGAGAGAGAGAGAACACGAGGGTCCCCAGTGTCCATACTTAAATGGAGATTTGTGCCTAAATGGAGATATGCCTTCCCTGGACTGCTGTATTACTTTTCAGCAATTTGGTTTTCCATGAATTATGGTGAAAAGGCCCTTCTTATATTAAAATGGATATGTTTTGCATCTATATGGCTTTTACATGGGACTCAACCATCCACTTATCCAACCACCATTACATTAAAGCTTACTGATATCTATAGACTGTACAATGGAAATCAAAATCTGTGATGAATAACAGGGTTTATAAAGGTAGTTTTTATAAAGGATCATCCCAGACTACAAACCAATATTGTCATCATTTCCACAGACAACATTTGATCGTAGTTTGTTCTGTAATTTGATTGTGGTTTGGCTAAGATTCCTCAGAAAAACCTTAAAGATATATGAGAATTCATGCTTTGAATCTGTGCTTTTTGTGCTGTTGCAAAGTCTTTGTCAATTTGTATTGTAGTGTGAAAGCACATTTAGTGTCATTACAAGGGAGAAAGATGGGAAAAAACAGAATTGGTTAGTTCCATCTGCCATTAACTCTAGCTTTGCCTGTCTGGCCACCACCCAACCTATCCAAATCAGTGCCAGCATTGCAGAGTGCTGATCAGGCTTATGTATATACTTTATAAAACAGTGCACTACATGTGGCCAGGACACTGGCCAGGATGATTTCTTTTATATTTTATTATTTTATATTGTTAATTTTAATTTTATATTGTTATTTTTGTATTTTATTGTATTTTATTGTGTTGTAAGCTGCCCCGAGGCTTCGGCAAGGGGCGGCATAGAAATGTTCTGATGATGATGATGATGATGATGATGATGATGATGATGATGATGTTTGCTATTATACTACCTTTTCAGTCTGAAATTGGCATCTTTTGTTCATGCTTTTTGTGAACCTGTTCCTTTACAATGTTTTCTGTGTTGTCTTCTCATGCTTTTCAGATCTGATTTACTGAGGGTTTCTTTTGTTCTTTTCTAACATAAAAATCAGTTGCTGCACCAGCCTGTCCAGTATGGATTGGCAAAAGCATTACTGAAGCTTTTCAGAGATGTATTGCCCTTTATCAGGAGGTTCAATATTTGCTTCCTCTGCCATTGGGTTCCCCCCACACCTAATTTTTCATTGTTTTGTCTTCCTAGTTAATAACTAATGAGTTTTATTAACATTAATAAGTTCACATTTAGCACCAACAGACATTTTTGTGTATGATTATTAGGATTGTTGTTAATGATGCTACTACTTCTGCATTTATACCTCACCTTTTTCCTTCTTGCAAGGAACCCTGTGAGTCTTACTTTATCCTCCTCTCCATTCTTGGCTTATGTGGTCCTTCCTCTCTCCATTTTTATTCTCACAACAACCACCCTGTAAAGCCAGGTTAACTTGTGAGTCAATAACTTGCCTTGGTAACATGTCACCAATAACTAAGTAACAATAACTTAGTCACCCAGTGCGCTTCACAGCTGAGTGGGGACTAAAAAACTGGACCATTTATATAAAACATTGATATGCTGCATTCTTCCAAATATGAATTTCTGGGTAGTGTATATCAGAATACAAATACAATAAGAAAACAACAGGTAAAATCTTAAAAGCAAGTACACAAGTTAAACAGCGTGGGTGAAAAAAGAAAAATTTTGCTTGGTATCAAGAAGAATTCAGCATAGGTGCCAGTGAATCTCTTCGGGGATGGCATTCCAAAACTAGGGCATTGCTGATGAGAAAGCCTTTTTTGCTGCCGAACAGCATACCTCTGATAAATGAGGCCTCTGAAAAAGGTCCTCTATATTACTAGTTTCCATCCCTTTTCCTTCAGTTATAGCAAAAGAATACTATTTCATGATGAGTGGATGAGAGAGAGAATGAGAGAGTGCCAGGAGCAGGAATTTACTAATGATAGGACAATTTGGAAGGAATTTATGGGTTATTCACCAGTAGTGCCAATTATACTGAAAGCAATTGCAGGGTGCTATTGCTGAATGAGGTTTAAATACCAGAGTAAGCATTATAGTAAGCATTTTTGTAAACCTACTGGGGAGGTCACCCAGAAGAGTGGGTTGGGGTCATCAATATGTGGATGATATTCCTCCCAGAGAGGTGACGGGAAGCAGTTTAGGATATATGTTACTGAAGATGCTAGAATGTAATTCAGACAAGACTGAAGTATTGTGGCTAGGAAAACTGACTACCCACTGAGTTGCATTCCCTTTGAGGTACCCAAGCAATGCTATTTGGAAGTTCTGTGGCTTAGATCCAAGTTATGTGAATGACCATCTTTTCCATATTTTAACCTACTTCATTCTGACATCAACATTAGTTGGTGCATATCAGGAATAATGTCTTCTTGGTAGTGGTCCTCAGCTTGTGGAACTCTCTTCCAATTGATGTCTTGTTGGCACATCTGGATGCCATCAAGCTAGGGAAGGCTAGACTAGAGGATTGCACCCTAATTGTCTTTCTTTTTAGCCTTTGATAGTTCAAATATATGTTACATGAAAAAGAATTGAGGAATCCTTCTCTAAAGCAACATTAAAAAGTGGCTTGGCATAGAAAATTGTCAAGTAGAGATTAGTTAACCCTTCTCAAGTCTACCATAGGATTTGCATAATTACCAGTTCATGTGATATACAAAAGCTGCTATCCAATTTTGGGGTAATGAAATATGGTAACCCTAACTATGAACTCAACAATCCACCTAAATCTTTTCTGATTTTTCTTCTGCTTTCCCATGATTTTCTCCATTGAGGATTGCCTAACTTCTAGGTTGTATTATTTTTTCAGTTATATGGCAGAGCTTATGCATGAATAATTCAGTTGCAAGGATGTAAAATCTTGCAGGTTTAACAGGAGGAGGGGAAGGAAAAAGTTAAGGGAATTACGTAAATGTTCTTTGTTTCTGTAGGTACATGTATTTCACCAATCTGCAAGAGAGGTCTCCTCCCAAAATAGAAAGGGCAGCATTAGATGGAACTGAACGTGAGGTTCTTTTTTCCAATGGACTGAGCAAGCCTATCGCCTTGGCAATTGACAGCCAGTTGGGAAAGCTTTTCTGGGCTGATTCAGACTTGCGGAGAATCGAGAGCAGTGACCTTTCAGGTAGCATAAAACCCACTTGATTTCTAATAAGACAAGCAGCAATGTTCTTTTCACCCATCTTTCCTAAAACATTCAAGATCTGTGCATTAACCTGCAACATAAGTAGGGAATGAGAGATAGGCATGTATATTTTGTCCTCACTTTAGAGCTGTTCATACTGCAAGCAAACACATGTTGAAAACATCAATGTGTATGTATGGCTAAGAATGGATGTTTATTCCTTCTTTCATCTCAGTCTGTATTTTCTCTTTGTATTTACATCATAGTTACTTTGCAGAATGTTTCACTTGCATCACTGTTCTTCCCTAAAAATGTCGGAATAGCCCTGTTGTATCAGAGAATATATCTAGCATGATACCTTGTTTCCTGCAGTAGCCTGCCAGATGATCCTGGAAAGACCATAACCAATATTTTATGTTATAGTGTGTCCAACCCTAGAGTTGCTTGGTGACATCTACGGGAAACCACTGGGAGAATTCATCTAGAGGTTTGAATCATTAGTATGTGACTGTCATCAGTGTGTGGATGACCTCCCTTTTCCAGCTGCTGGGGAAGGTCTCAATCCTATCTAGAGACTGCTAGGGGTGATGAGAGAAAAAATAATGAAGTTTAATTTGTATGAAGTTTCTATTCCTCTGGGAGTTCTCCTGGATTTCCACTTGGGAAGCTTTGTCTGGCACATGCATACTACACCAATACTTTATCAGTTATGTTGGTTCTTCATTGTGGTCTCTGTGCATCACACATTATGGGTGTTGTGCCAGCGCAGTGCCTGCAGCTGGGAAAATTTCAAAACTTTAATGGATTTTGGCGGGAACTCTGCACCCCTCCCCCACTATGGTATAAAGGGCAGAGCACCCGCCGTTTTCCCCAGTCTTCTTTTGACTGCCAATCGCTTTGCCTCGAGTCGTTTGTTACTCTCTCTACTCTACTGCATATTACCTTGTTCTTGTCTGCTGATTCATGTAATTATTCTCTTAGAAATCCTTTCCAAGTTCAAATTCCTACCTTCCCTGTTAGGACAGTTTTTCTCTTACCCTTTCCCCCCCACTACCCTCCCCCCCCCAAAATGTTATATATTTTCATATCTTTACTATCTTCTATAGTTCTTATTCTTCCATTCACTATCCATTCTTCTTCTCAATGGCTCAGCATGCAGCTTTTTGAAAGTGCTCGAAGTTTGGGGCCAGTATGTCTCCTATGGACCCACACGAGCTATGCCTTCTCTGTCTCGGAGAAGGGAATCAGACTGACAAATGTAGCCACTGTCAGTTGTTCACCAAACAAGCACGCAAGAATCGAGAAAATCTACTGAGAAAATCTACCTTTTGGATCAGGCCCTCATTGCCTCCGATGAACTTGTCGCCCAGGCCTCTTCTACAGACCCACCCATGGTGTCCTCCTCTCATCCACCATCCGAGGGGGCTGCTTCCAAGAAGACCACTCGCTCCTCCCATTCCTCCTTACAAAATCAAAAGGAGAAGCAGAATCACACTGGACCTGAGGATCCATCAGCTCCAAAATGTCTAAGACTAAAGCCGACAATGCCAAACTCAAGCAGTGTAAGCTTGCCCAGGAGCCTCGCAGGGACTCGGGCTCGACTGCCCCATGAGTCCCGATGGCCAAATCGGTCCTGACTCCTTCGGGTCCAACTGCCCATGCCGTCATGCAAGTTACACCTCCTGGATCCCCTCAAAGGAACTCATTGTCGGCTCCTTCAACTTTGGATCACTCCGAGGCAGCTCTTTGCAGATCGCTGTTGGATGGCAAGATACGGGACTCACCTCCCCACTCTCAACTGGGTCATCCATCGGCTCGCTCGCCTGATCCGATGCGATCATCACCAGAGGTATCGCTGAGGTTGAGGCCTCCATCCGACATGTGTCACCACCAGCATGCCTTGGGCCAATTGTCAAGGAACTGGGTCCCAATGCCATACAGCGGATTCAACCTAAGTCCTGTGCTTGGAACTACCCTCCACCGTATGGCTACTACCCCATGCCTTCAGTGTGCAGGCATCATCCTCGTCCGTCCTGGGCATAAGCGCCTTCCACCTCAGTGGCTGCACTCTCCCGCCCTCTCCCCATCTCTGGCTGGCTCTTCCTCCAATCCTCCGTACCACTATGACTTAGATTCAGAGGACTCGGAGCAGGCTTCCACCTCTCCTGATGCTGTCATTTGAACGCAGGCTCCTCATGGCTTTCGGCCATCGATACCATGTGTAGACTCTTAGATAAACTCGGACTCTGTATTAATATTGAAAAATCCTGCCTTGGTTCCTCACAGGTCATCAACTGCATCGGAGCACGTCTAGACTCGATCCAAGCCAGAGCATTCCTACTGCAAGCTTGAATGGACAAGCTTCGGTCGTTGATTCATCGCATCTACAATGGCCGTCCTACTCATGCGCTTTCCATACAGAAGTCGCTCGGACACATGGCTTCCACAGTTGCCATCGTACCCAACGCCAGACATCGACTGTGACCTCTACAACTATGGTTCAACTATGGTTCAACTGCCTCTTCCATCCAAAATACGACTCTCCAAATCGTCTCCTACTACCTATCACCTGCCTTCATCCGTCGGACTTTGACTTAGTGGACAATCAGAGACAATCTTTCCACAGGAGTCCCCTTTCACCAGCCACAACTGTTGGTGACCCTCTACACCGATGCCTCCCTTACGGAATGGGGAGCGCATTGTGCCAATCTCTGTACTCAAGGCACTTGGCAGGGTCATGAAAAGTCCAGGCACATCAATTATCTAGAGCTTCTAGTGGTTTTCAAGGCTCTCCCAGTCCTTCGAATCGACCCTTCAGGACCGATTGGTTCAAATACTCTCGGACAATGTCATGACTGTCTTTTATATCAGCAAGCAGGGCAGCACAAAGTTGGTACCATTAGCTCATCTTGCCCTGCGAATATGGGACTGGTGTATCCCCAGGGGGATTACCCCGCTAGCAGTTCATCTCGCTGGTGTAGACAATGAAGAAGCAGATGCCCTCAGCATGCGGATGTCCACAACTCACGAGTGGAAGTTGGACTGACAGATTTGCGACTACATTTTCCAACACTGGAGGACCCCAACCATAGATTTGTTTGCTACAGCAACCAATTCATTGTGCATCTACTATTGCTCCCGGGCAGGCATCAGCCTGAATTCACTGGGAGATGCTCTGATGGTGAACTGGGTGAGCACGTTTTTCTACGTGTTTCCTCTGATCCCACTAATCATGAAAACCCTGGCCAAAATTGTTCAAGACAAAGCCCAAGGAATTCTCGTAATGCCTTGATAGCCACGTCAACCCTGGTTTCCCACCATTCTCAGTCTCTCCAAGAAAACCTTTTACCGTCTCCCATGGGTCCCTCATCTCCTTACTCAGGAAGATGGGGCAATTCACCATTCTGACCTCAACTCTCTAAACCTCACTGCTTGGCTTATTCAGTGACTATCACTTCTTCCTCGGTACCAACAACTTCATCGAACCCTCCGACTCCAGTACAGCCCTTGGTACTTACACAGTCTTCACTGGTGTTGCCGGACACTGACCTCTCATCCACCAGGAGGCGATCGGACTGTCTCCATGAGACTGGGGAGAATGGTGGGTGCTCCGCCCTTTATACCATAGCGGGGGAGGGTGGCGGAGTTCCTGCCAAAATCTGTTAAAGCTTTGAAATTTTCCTGGCTGCAGACACTGCGCAGGTGCAGCACCCATAATAAGTGAGGCAGAGATGACCACTCGAAGAACGACAGTTACAGGTAAGCAACCTGCCTTTTCTTATTCATTTCTGGGCTCATTTTAAAGGATTCACAACTGGTTTTTAAAGTTGTCTTGTTAACCACAGTTTGCTATATACCGTGATTTCTGGTTTGTGTGTAATGAAAAGCCTGGTTCTTTTAATGAGAAACTAAATGCTTACAAAGCCCTTTTCTGAGCTTCACAGGAGGAAAAATTGGTAGACTTTGTTCAGCTTTATTCTAGCTTGTACAGATAGCACTAAACCATGGTTTTGCATTTCATGAGAATCAGTTCATCAGCTATTTTAATTGGTTTGACAGGTCTGAATTGCTATTTGAATGAAGTATTAATATGATACAGAATTTTTCCCTGAAGTTACATAAGAAGGATTCCTAAGCATCAGATAAACTGGAGCTCTGGGATGCAAATTAGCTTCAACTTTCAAAAGCCAACTATCTATATGGGGAAAAAAGTCTTGCCAATTTTTTCTTGTTCATTTATATTTGTTGTTTCTTTTCTGTTCAAAGGTGCCAATAGAGTAGTTTTAGAAGATTCCAACATACTACAACCTGTAGGCCTGACTGTATTTGAAAACTGGCTCTACTGGATTGATAGGCATCAACAGATGATTGAAAAAATTGACATGACTCGTCAAGAAGGACGTACAAAAGTTCAGGCTCGTATTGCCCAACTCAGTGATATTCATGCTGTTAAAAAACTCGACATGCAGGAGTATAGTAAGTGCCAAGCAATAGTATGTGAGATGAAAAAACAATAGCACACAGTGCAGCATTGCTTTGTATCAAACACTTTCTGTATGAATTTCAGCCCTGTTGTACAATCTTCTGCAAATCCACTATCCTGGAGCAAGAAACTTTTGCATCATTAGGCCTAAGAAATGCAGTCTGAAAGCACACGCTGCAACCTGTGACTGAGGCTAAGAATGTCTACATTTTGTCAGTGCTCACATAGGAGACTTCAGGGTATACTCTCTTGGCTCTGTGAATGAAAGGCATACCATTTTATGTAAATAAAACAAATAAAAAACAAAAGGAAAAGTATAATATGGGAAAAATAATCCACAAATAAATGATTTAGGGTGCATTCCTATACTGGTTGAGACAGAAATACATTGTTTGGGAAAAAAAGTTTTTATAACTTTCTGCACTCTTCCACCAGCCATGCTGTCTAAATATGCAAAGCACATTATGTTAGTAAGGCTCTTGTATTAGATCCCAACTAGGAGACTGTTTATTGTTTATTTTAAAATATTTCTACATAGCATGTCTGGTGCAGCATACTCAGGTACTTTGTAATGCTAAATCTACAATATAATAATGAATTATAAAACCAGTGACTTTTCATTAAAAATCATAAAGATAAATTGTTTAGCATATATTTTATTTCTGGTGAGGGTGTTCCAAACTGAGTGCCACTACATGAAAAGCTCATATCCTTGTGGTCACCAGATGGACAGCTGCAGGATAATAATCACAGCAGTTGGAGTGAATCTGTATGGGCAAAGTTATTTTCTCATAAACAGTGGTCTTAAGTTATTTTAGGATTTATAGGTTAACAGCATCACTTTAAACCTGGCTTGGTAGCAAATTGGCAACCAGTTTTACAAACTATTAAACAGAAAACTGGAAGCAAAAATGACAAAACTTAAGCAGTTGTACTTTAGGCACATCATGAGAAGTCAAGACTTCCTAGAGAAGGCAATAATGCTAGGGATAATTAAAGTCAGAAGAATAAGAGATGGACCAGTTATGAGATGGTCTCCGTAAAAGAAGCCATAGCCTTGAGTTTATAAGAGCTGAACTAAGCTTTGGAGGACTTTGATTAATAAGGTCACCATAATTTGGATACATCATGTAATAACAACAAAATCAACAGTTGATTCAGGACATAGCATTAAGGGAGAATGTTGAAGAGAAACTCAGTCATAAAGCATGGATTTACATAGAAAGGATCATGGGCTCATTCCCTGACATTGCCAGAATAGACTTCTATCTGAAACCCTAGACAATCACTGCCAGTCAATGTAAACCAAATATTTAGCCTACAAATCCCATCAACCCTACCAATTGACTTTGCTGTGTATTTCTGATAGATCAAAACAATTGGATGACCACAAGTTGCCAGCCTTTGTTCTAGACCAGTGAAGGCAAACCTTTTAGAGACCAAGTGCCCAAACTGCTACCCAAAACCCACTTATTTATTCAAAGTGCCAACACTGAGGTTTTAGTTTAGAAAAAACATACATTAACATCTTTTGTCTTAAAAGGAAAACACAATAACAGAGCTTTCAATGATACAAACAGCTTTTTCTTGAAAGGTAAAAGTTTGTATTTGGCTTGCTTTTGCCTGCTCTGAAAAAGGTACCTGAGTGCATTTCCTACCTTGAAGGGGCTTCTGCTATAATCACAACCAGTCCAAGCAAATATATATATATCCTTGCTCTTGTTTTCATAAATTCTTCACAAGGAAATAGATATGATGCTGCAGATTCAAATATGCCAGGGAGACAACACAGCATTAAAAGAATCTCAGTCTCTTAATTAGAACATCTCTTTGCTAAATCTTAGATATTAAATTTCAATTTCTCATAAGAAAATTCAAAGCTAAAATCTTACGTTAATAAAAACGAATGTATTAAAACTCATAGTCCAAACAAATATATGTGTGTGTGTGTTTCTATATCTCCTTGGCAGTGCACTGACTGGCCATGCAAATTCTTGTACATGTGGCAGCTAATGAGTCGTGGCTTGTGACATCATCACCTGACGCCACTACTTTCTGAGCATGCGCATGGCCCCTATGTGTGCTGTTATCCGATGCTTGGCTGCTGAGGCGATGCTGGGATGACTTGGCTCGCGTGCCGACAGAGAGGGCTCTGTGTGCCCCCTGTGGCACGCGTGTCATAGGTTCGCCACCACTGTTCTAGACAGTACTGAGTTAGTACTGAGTTAGATTGGACCCATGGTCCTGGTGACCTCCAGATTTTTTGGATCTCAAGTCATATCACCCCAGTCAGCATGGCCAATGGTGATGAATTGTGGGAGTTGTCATCCAAACCATCTGGTGAACACCATGTTGCAGTAGGCTGATACTAAGCAACATCCTACATTCACAAGCAATTTTTACAATGGGATTTAGAAATAATTTTTTTTAAATTCCAGGAAACAATACAGGTGAACAGAGCTGGCAAATGCAAGTACTCCCATAAATGGGGTTGCTCACACTTTTTTCCAGTTCTCAAGGTAGTGAAAGCTCAGGAACAAGAGCAAAAGTGAAGGTGTCTTCAGGACACAAGTCAAAAGCAAACCCTAAGATCTTGCTGCTAAGAAGGGCAAAGCCCACTTTCACAAGCTAAGATTACTCACACTTGTCTTTTGACAGGTTTCAGATGCAGCCAAAGGGGGGAATCACCTGCAGCTTCTTTGGAGTAATGCTAGGTGGGATTTTGCTAGATTTTTTGAACAAGCACTTTCCTGCATATTGCCCACCTGAGGTGCCCCATTCTCACTTATATATAACTGTGAGTCAAAACACGTATTTGCAAAAATGGGGGGTATGAAAAAGTTTTCCAGGAAATTTCCTTCCTTGGAAAAAGCAGCAAGTGGGTTTTACTGCTCTTGCCTGAATTTCCTGTATACCTGATGACATTAGTAATGTGATAACTCCTAAAACAACCCATGGCTTGTTAGGGAGTCAGACAAGTTAGTAACAGCTCCCTAACAAGATCCCTAACTGTTGTGATGGAATCACACAACATGGCAAAGCATCATGGGTAGCAGCAGGTGTGTTTTTCTAATTCAAGCCTTGTTGCACTCTCCACTTCTTTAGCTGCTTCTTCTGTCTTCCCTCCAGGAAGGGATTTTTTGCAGGCAATAGAGCATGGGTCCTCAAACTATGGCCCATGGGCCTGATCCGGCCCGCCATGCCCATTTATCTGACCCGTCTCAGAGATTTTGGACTCACTCAGAGAAAACGATCTCCAAGAGAGCAAGCTGCTGCCTTGCGCGCGTGCCCCCGCCTCACCGCACTGCGCCTGCATGCCCCATCCCCACCCCCTCACTGGCCTGCATGCACCGTTGGCACTGCCTTTCTGGCCCGCGCCCAGCACCGGCACCAGCACCTTTCAACTTGCCCCCTGTTGAAAAAGTTTGAAGACCCCTGCAATAGAGCTACTGCTAGGTGTCCACATGTTGTCCATTTCTACCACTTTAGATTAGAGCTCATCTTGGACCAGACTCATCTCTGAGTTTTTGCTTCCTACTTTGTATAACTGAGTGATCGGCCTCACAACTTCTGCCTATATAAAAGAAACTGAGATCACTTTCCTAAATGAAGTACATTTCAATTCATTAGACTTTGTTGTTTAGACTGGGTGCAGATAATCAGCTTGAATATTTTTTGAGTGGCAAGAAAGAGTAGTTAGTGCCTTGCAATGATAATTCTAGTAAAATAGTATGTGAAAGGTATTACTACTCATTCTCATGAACAATAATCATTGGTGGCCCAGAGGCATTGATTCTGAGGCTTGCTTTGTATTAGCCAAATTTATTTTGGGTATATTCAAAGGAATTTGCAGTGAATTTCTAAAATGAAAAGTGTGGCTGCTTTCCACAGAGATTTGTTTGCCATATTATTATTTTTATTTTTATTTCTCATTGCATCATCTCCAGAAGTTTTTGGACCATAATTTGAAAGCTACTGATGTAGACTGTTTTTGATTTTTTAAAATTGATAACAGAAAATATAATTTTCCACTTTTACTTTGCTTTACAGGACAACATCCCTGCTCCCAAGATAATGGTGGCTGTTCACACATTTGTATTGTGAAAGGGGATGGAACCACACGTTGTTCTTGCCCAGTGCACCTTGTCCTGCTTCAGGATGAACTTTCCTGTGGAGGTAAGGCCATTTTTAAGATGGCACCATTTCCCTCATATGTGGAGCACATATGGAATGGAACATAGCTATAACATACCGGTTATGTGCAATTACATGATGCTATAATAAATTTACACATATGTTTGAAAGAGAACAGAGACAGATGAAGAAGATGACTCTTATAGCAGACATATAAGTTTTGTTGTTGTTGTTTTGTAATGCACTCTTTCCTGACTACTTCAGCAGTTCAAGCAAAGTTGGGGAGTGAAGAGGGTGCATCTTTCTTTTTCACTAGTGTGTGTGTGTGTGTGTGTGTGTGTGTGTGTTTGCATTTGTACTCCATGTCTGTGAACTATTTTAAGTCTGCAACATGAAAATCTGACCTCAATAATCTAAAACCATGCAAATGCAGATTAATTATGCAAAGGTGGCCCTTTTTACTACTTGCGTTATTTATTCTGCTTTTGCTAGTCCTAAATCCACTTAAGGCACTTAAACCCTTGACTGGGAATGTGTGAGGAATCCTTTTGGATGTGGGAATTTGTTGGATTTAAGACCTGAAGACAGAGGATGGGAATAAATGACCATTTCTCCCAGTGAGTTCCACAAGGTTCAGTATTAGGGCCAGTGCTTTTAGAAACATAGAAACAGGGCAAGTCAGAAGGGGTCTCCTGGGCCATCTAGTCTGACCTCCGGCACTAGCCAGCTCCACTCATGACATGCCCACCATGTGGACATCCAGTCTATCCTTGAACACCCGCACCAATGGGGCCTCAGTCACCTCTTGTGGAAGCCGATTCCACACCCTTGGGTTCCTAACTGTCAGGAAGTGCTTCCTGGCATCCAAATGGAACCTTGGCTCCCTGAGCTTTGCTCCTTTTCAACCTATTCATAAATTATTGGAAATAAGGAGTAAGTAGTGAAGTGGCCAAGTTTGTTGATGACACTAAATTATTTAGGATGGTTAAAACCAAAGGGGATTGTAAGGCTTTGCAAAGGAATCTTTGCAAGCTGGGAGAACAAGCATCAAAATGGTAAATGTAGTCCTGTGTAAGCAAGTGTAAAGTAATGCATACTGGGGCAAGAAATCCCACCTTGAAATATAAACTGATGGAATCTGTGAGCTAATAGTGATAGAGCAAGAAAGGGATCTTGGGCTTGATTGTAATGTCAGTCCAGTGCACAGCTGCTACAAAGAAGGCAAATGTTATGCTAGGCTTAGTTAAAAATGGAATAGAAACTAGAACTGCAAAAGTCCTAGTCCCTTTATACAAATCTTTAGTACAACCGTACTTAAAATATTGTGCTTAGTTCTGATCACCTTACATGAAAAGGGCATAATTGCACTGGAAAAAGTAGAAGGGTGACAAAAATGATCAGGGGCCTGGAGCAACTCCACAATGAAGTGAAATACCCTGGAAGACAGAAAAAAGATCAAGGTGATCTTGATAGATTGGAGTGCTGGGCTGAAAATAACAGATTGAAATTCAGTAGGGACAAATGCCAAATCTGCATCCAGGAAAAAGAAAATAAATGCATTGTTGCAAGATAAGGAATACTTGGCTCAACAATTGTGCAAGTAAAAAGGAACTTGGAATTGTTATAGATCACAAGCTGAATGTGAGTCAACAATGTGATGCAGCTGCAAAAAAGGCAAATGCTATTTTAGGCTGCATTAATAGAAGTATCACTTCCAACTCCTATAAAGTGTTAGTTCCCCTATATTCTGTGCTGGTAAGACCTCATCTGGGGTACTGTGTCCAGTTCAGGACATCTCAGTTTAAGAAAGATGCATGCAAGCGGGAAAGGGTTTGGAGGAGGGCAACAAGGATGATCTAGGGACTGGAAACAAAGCCCTATGAGGAGAGATTGAAAGGACTGGGCATGTTTATGTCTCAAGAAGAAAAAATTGAGAGGCGATATGATAACACCCTACAAGTACTTGAAAGCCTATCACAAAGAGGAGCAGGAGCTCAATTATCCCAGAGTGCAGGACACGAAATAAGTTACAGGAAGCCAGATTCCAGCTAGATATCAGGAAAAATTTCCTGACTGTTGGAGCAGTATGACAACGGAACCCATTACCAAAGGAGGTTGTCAACTCTCACACAGCAGAGGCATTCCAAATGCAACCAGACAGCCATCTGAGAGGGATGGTTTAACTGGGGTTCCTGGACTGAGTAGTGGGTTGGACCAGTGGCCTTCTGGCACCTTCCAACTCTACTATGATTCTATGGTGTAGTGGCAGTGGAGAGGGAGACATTTTTCTCCCTCTTCCATTATACTGAAACCCAGGGTCATCCCATGAAGCCATGAAGCTGATTGATGGGAGGTGTAAGACAGATAAAAGGAAATACTTTCTCACACAAAGTAAGAAACAATAGAATTTTCCGCCAGAGGAAGTGGTGATGGCCACCAACTTGTGTGGCTTTAAAAGAGGATTGAACAGATTCATGAAAGAGATGACTAATCTTGCTGCTGTGATCCAATTCTTTTACTAAAGGTGGCTTGCCTGCTTGCTGAGGAGCTTGGGCAGGAAGAAGTCTTGCACCCATCCTGCTTGAGGGTTCCTGTGGGCAGCTGGTTTACTGTGTACAAAGTGGTGGACTTGATAGATTTGGCCTGATCCAGCATGTCTTTTGTCATGTTCTTATGCATTCCCTATGCACGGCACCCTGAACTGTAGTCCACTTTTCAGCATCCCAGTGTCCATGCTGCTGGAGAGCATGCCCAACTTTTATGGGGTGCTCACCAGGAATTGTGCCCTGTGTGCCGTGCAAGCAGCATCCCTCTTGTGCTCCATGTGTAGCTGCCATTTGTACAGCTGCAATTGATGTAAAAGAAGGTTGCTGGGCATCTGTAGGCATTGCTGGTCTTCCTCTTGTTTCAGCTCACTTTGGTAGACTGGGTTAAGCATAACAGGAAGCTGGTGAATTCTTGGATTCCAATAGGATTTTCTAACCCTTGATTCCCACCATTGGAATTCTTTATCAGATCCTTTTGGCTTGTGGGTTTCAGCAAGTGATTGTTCATGGATGCTTTCAAACATACAATTGCTGTCACAATGACTAGAAACTTATTTTAAAATCAATTCTTAAGGACCTGAATTACTCACCTTTTCTCTTGTGGAATTGCAATACATGCCCAGCCCTGCCCTAACTATAGTTAATCTGCCATTCCATCTTGAAAACCTAAAAGACATAAGGGCTGCTGGATGATACCTAACTAATCTGTTGAAGTAGAAAAATATGTATAATGATAACCTGAAGAATGTTTGGATTATATCTCCTTGTTTTTGACAACTTTGTCTTTCATTTGGCTGTAACTGAGCCCTTTAAGACAAGGCATATTCTAATAGATATGTTGAATGTCTTTTCATTTGACTTCATAAGATACTTTTATCCTCAACAAGGATTCCTGAGAATTTAGACAGAATCTTCTTTAACAGCTTAAGCAACTGGATGTCTTGTTTGTTTGGTGGAAAAGCAGATGGAAATACTCTGTTCAACAACATTCAAAATGTTCATGTGAAACAAACAGATTTGCATGGAGGGCCAAATAGTAGAATCTTCCCTATTCTTTTTAAAAAGAGAGAATTGAGCAGTTCTAGTTTGTGCTTATACAAATGCCCACACAAAGTTTATATATTGCTTATTCTGTTTTGAGCACTGAGTGGTCAACTCCTCCATATGGGTAACCTTCTCAACTTGGTCAAAATATACCTGTTATTTAAAGTCTCTTAATCCATACTTAATGTTCCAGTCTAGATGTAATGCCTCTGATTTCTTGACCAAGGTAAAAAGTAGACTTTAATATACTACTTCCTCCTTCCCTTTATAATTTGAATGTGACACACAGCTTCAACTGTAGTTTCTCTCAGCTTTAACCATAGTGTAGGATTACATCTGCACCAATGCTATCTAGCAAAATAACTTTTTAAGTAAGATCTACAAAATCATCTCATTCCCTAGTTTCAGTTTCTGATAAAATTGGGAACCCTGATAAATATTAACCATGATTCCAGCCAATGCATATGTAAATCTAAGCCATGATTAAGATGGGATATGCACCAGAGATAGAAAAGGGATAGCATGCTATTGATCTAGCCTTTGTTACTTGCTTCACTCTTAAGAATGGGACTTTAAAAGATTAATTTAGTACTTTCCTCTGTGATGCTGGACCTTCCTTTGTGAGGGACTAGAAGGATTCTGATATGACTAATCTGAATTGTGTTACTACTGCATGTGAATTAGTTTACCAGCTTCCAAAGCAAATGCAGTTATGTAAGAGATAATTACATACTTGGAGAAGATAATCTAGGGATTTTTTTTCTAGATTTTCATTCATACAGCAAAAAGAGGCTGATTTATAAGTTTTATTTTCTTAAAGACAAAAGGATAAATCACCACATTTACATTCCATAGGTCAATAGTAACTGTAATTAATATTAACTGAGTGCAAGCAGTTGCTCTGAAATGACTAGTAGTTGACTAGAAGGAGCTGTGGGTGGGGAGTAAGCCTCTTTCTAAAACAGGCTTGATTACATGCAATTGTAGAAAGCATATAAGTAGACACTGAGTCACAATATATCCATCTGTACATTATATTTCGTTTAATCTTTTCATTTAGAATTATTGTAGAGCATTGGAATATGAGCTGTCTTCATGAACACAATTGGATTGCACTTAAAGTAGTGCACTTCATGTTCAAGTGTAACTATTGTGCCAGCAGAGATGAGTGAGGGGGAGGAACTTTTTGAGATTGGCGAGTAAATTTCTTCTTCACAATGTTGATGCTAAGTGGCTTAGATCCTTGTAGACCTACAAGACTGTCACTTTTGTCCCTGCCCATATTGCCTCTGGCTTATGTAGAAAATGAAAACATTTTGAAAGTGTAGATATGGCCAGGCCTGCACTTGAAAAAGGTGTCCCTTAATTTGTTGTGGGATCATTGTCCTGTGTGTGTGTGTGTGTGTGTGTGTGTGTGTGTGAGTGAGAGAGAGAGA